TGAAGTTGAAACCAAGATAAAACAAAACAAAATTATTAGGCAGAAGGGGAACTCTAGCTCAGTGGGAGAGCACATTCCTTGTATGCAGAAGGTGCCAGATTTGATCCCTGGCACCTCCAGTTAGCATGCAGTAGAAATCAGGAAGATATTTTCTGGATGAAGACCTAGAACAACACCACTTACCCAAATGGACAACACTGACCTCAGTGGATAACTGTTCTGTGGACTAATGGCTAAACCAGATGACTTAAGGCAGCTCCCTAATGTACAGATGAGATTCTGTGAATGTAGAAATTAAGACCAGTTCACATGAGTAAACTGGTATGTACAAGTTTGGTTTGAGTGGCTCTGTGCAGGATTCTGCCTGCAGTGAAGCCACTGTGTCATTGCTTCACCTGTGTGGCCAATTCACAGTTCTCAAACCACATTTATTACTCTTTCTGGAATCATTGTGCATGTGGGACATGACTTCTATACACCCTGAAAATTGCTGTGTCAGCCAAAAACTGCAACAAGTACCAATTCCACTCAGCAATTATATCCTGCACTCAAAAGCAAGTTCTAGCTTATAGTGAATTGGTTCCACTTCCTGCTCGGCTCCATGTCATTTAAGGGTAAGAGAGGGAGACACAGAGAAAAAGAGAGATAGTTTTTAAAAAAAACAGCAATGTAAGAAGAGCCGCATGAAATCAGATACCAGACCTGTCTAGGTTCATTTATCAAAGACCTAGCATGGCCAATAAGAGTCAATAAGAGTCAAGGACTCTTAGCCATAACAGTCAAAACTGGATTTTTTTCAAGTTGGTATACTTCTGATATGATAGTAGGAAGTTGGACTCAAGAAGCCATTTTCATTATGCCTCCCCTAGGGATCTGATTGATCACCCCAAACATTTTTCAGCCTGGGGTAAAAGACCAAACAGTGCCATTCATGGCATGTTCCATGTACAGAAGATGACCAGACAGGTGAATCTGACCTCAGCACTGGTGGCAGGACAGTATCTTCCACTGCAGCTCTCCTCCAAAGTTTTACTGCCACAGCCAGCATCAGCTGCCTGAGGTGCCTCTGGTCCTACTACTCTTACGCAAATCCTATAGGGAGGGCATCTCAATATCACAAGACCCTTGTGAGTGGGCATTCAGCAACTGGCTGGTTCTCAGAGTGGCTGCTCGGAGTTTCCCCTCTTGCCTTTTCATATAAATCAGGACATCCTAGTGGTCATAAACTGATTGCATTTTTAGGACCCACATGGCATGAATAAAGAGGTGAGAAAATCAGTTGATCCAGGGCTCCTGTTGGAAATACCAACCATAATAGAACTAGGATAATATGTGACCCAGTGGGCTACACTTAACATTGACACTTTCAACTTCTTTGTCTTGCATTTTGCTGTCACAATCAGTTGGACAGACTTATGTTATTTATCCCAAAGTACATGCCTGAAAGTTTTATCCACAGCTTCCTTAGTTTTGAGTTAACACAGGGAAAATCAGAGCTTAGAAATTTTACTTTTTTGGACTATAATCCTCAGAATCCTTCACAAGGCCAGTGGTTGTGATGGCTTCTGGGAGTTGTAGTCTGAAAAAAGAACATTATCAAATTATGGGTAAAAGAATACTGTCTCTCCCCCCACATTCACTCTTGTCATCTTTCTCCTCCTCTCTGTGTGAGAAGTGATGGGCCTACTGTTTCCCAATTTCTGGGGTGGATTTAGAGGGATCTGATTTTTTTCAGTTCCAAGGTCTCATCTAAGGAGGATCTGAAAAGCAACAGACATGCAAGAAAGAGTCTCTTTAGCCTATTCTCTGGAGACTCCAGAGCAGACAGTGTCTATGAGAACTAAAGCTCACAGGCCAGCTGAGAAAGGAGGAGGTCACAGGATTTCACTTCAAGGGCAGAGAAGTTTGGGAAACAGCTGGAGCAAAGGGCAGCTGAAGTGTCATGGCTCTTAAGCTGTCCAAAAGGAAGAAAGAGAGCTAAAAAAAGAGAACAGAGTGGGAGGAAATATATTAGATATGGACTCATGCACAGACAAATAATATGCTGTAATTTGCTTGGCTTCTCATTGTCAAGTCCTCTAAAAATGCTAAGCAAAGCTGGGACTTGTGGAAGGGTGTAGTCCAATGCCTCTTGTTGTGGCCTTGGCGCAGCCTCTCTAGGCCAGCCCTGTTTGTCTATCAATATAAACACTCTCTTTTACAATACAATACAACAGACTTGTAATAATGCAATAAAGTACAGTAATACAATTTACTCGGTAAGATAAAACAGCAAACCAACAAAAAAACTAATCACCCCATGATAAAAAAGACAAAGGATGAAAGAGCAAGAGAGGAAAGGGGAGACAGGTCACCCTACTCCATTCTTATCCATGCTTGAGACATTTTTCTTCCAATACGTCTTGGAATTAAAAAGAAACCCACTCAAGGATGGGAATGAAATATTGCAGCTGATGTCAAAAATGGCCAGAAAATGGCCTGGGACAACAGAAATGTTTATTTATTTTTTAAAAGACAAAAGATTATTGTGTTTAGAAGGCTATAATTTGAGGTATGGGTGGCATGCATACTTTTGGTACAATAAACTGGAAATGAACAAAGAATTTAAAGAACATTTTGAAAGGAGATTGCTGTGGAAGGTATGGAACAAATACAAGAATAACATATGTAGGAAGATACCACAGTAGGCATCTCCCCATGAAGCCTTTATGAAAAATGAGAAACTAATTGGAGATGGCTGGCTAAAGTATCAAGATCTCTTAGATTGGAAGGAGGCAAAGCCTTAAAACAAGAGAAGAATTAATTAATTAATGAGGAGGTAAACAATGGCAAACTTCCTCTGAACAAACCTTGGCAAGAAAACCCCATGATAGGTTTGTGTTACGGTTGTCCAAAATGACCTGAAGCTGCACAACAACAAAATTCTATATAAGAGTTGATAGTGAACAATCATATACTGTTATTAAATAATAAACTGGCATGAGATGTGAAAAATTAAGAGGTGTAGAAATTAGAAATCATAAATTAAGAAACAATACTCAGTTGTATTATATGTAAAATAATTTTATTGGTTACAAAGAGGTAGAATAATGTACAATGATATTTGATAAATGAGAAACAGAAAATAGATTCACTCTAAATATAAGCACAAACCCAACAATGAATGAAAGGGGAGAATTGGGTAAGGATTTCTAAATAATTAACAAAAACAATTATACAGATGATAGATATATGGCTAATGATGGATGTTGGTGATCATATAG